CCCCAAAACCCCAAAACCCCAAAACCCCTTAATCTTGATAAAGTGTTGAATTGCTTATGTTAATATTTAAGTTTGGGATGAGTCAGATTGTAGCTTCTCAACATTTGTTCGAGGCAATCCTGGCTAAATCCATTATTGTCAAGCAGTATTGATCTTAAACTTGAGTGCGCCCATTTTGAAAGATATAGACCAGCCGGTAAGTTGCTTAGAGATTTTAAGGTTTCTCAACATCCAATTCCTCCCATATCTCAAGTGTTAAATTGTAGTATCTCAAGTTTTCAATCTCTGGGTTGTCCCAAATAATAAGGTACTGTATCAAAGTCAACTCTTCAGTTTCAGAAGTCGAGTACTATTTTGTCTCTTCAAAGGTAGAAGATTTTTCTGAGTTGTGTTCTATTTATTTTGAAATTATAAAAAGTGACATATGAAGTGACAAAGGGTAACACAAATGCTAGCCCTTTTAAATAAACTCCTATTCTTACGAAGTTATTTTGGCTGGAATCGTAATTTGTATATTTTATCTTAAAACTCTCAACTTCTTTTGGGATTGACTTAATCATAATTTTTTTTGCTTTGCTTCTGTTTGCTTCTGATACAAGAAGATTTATTGATCTTCACTTTAGAGACTTGAATTTTTCTGAAGACTTAAAATATTTAGAATCATGCTCGCTTTTCATATCAAAAGAGTAATGGTTGCCCACCATAAAATTAGCATTTTTTAATTGAAGGAGCCTTTTATCTAGTTTTAATTGTCTTGTAGTAAAATCATGATCAACTTTTTCTCTGTATGGAATTTTCATTTTCTCAATCATATTCGCAAATTTTTTAAGCTTATTTTTGAGACTAGTAATCAAATCTTTATTACAAATCTCAGTTTTGTAAATCCATCTTCCAGCAGCCCATTCTGTTCAAAATTTACTGAACTCAGGGTCATCATTGAGGCCCTCCAGAAGGTGCTTCTTGACCCCATTTTCACTCATAACTGCAAGAACTTCTTCTATAAATTCTTGTAGCGTATTTAGATTCGCGTTCATATTTATTATTATTATTATTTAATTTCAACTAAAGGATACCATTTAGGGGTTTTGGGGTTTTGGGGTTTTGGGG